TTTCTTTCTTCCTATAGAGAAAGACACAGAGAAAGATGATTCACCCCCTAAAAGGCAAGCATTAATGTGGGGAAGGAGTGGAGAGGGGGAGAAATGACATCCCAGAAGGAAGTGAGACTGGGTGGGGAGCATATGCAACCCAAGACTGGTACCAATGCTCCTTAGTGAAAATAGCCTCCTGCCCTGCAGACAAAGCCCCCTTCCTGCTTCCCATCCAACACCATGAGCCATCACTAACAGGATTTAATCTGGGCTCAGTCATGTATGCCTGCCAGCTCCAGGAAGGTAAGACACCATAAGACTGAGGAAGAAGGTGTGTCCCACCCAGTCTGTGCACAATGTTGCAGGCCCCTTCCCTATGGAGTACTCTGAGACCCAAACAGAGGTAAAGGGCCCAGTTAGCAGTTCCTAAAACCAAATTTCCTCTGTGCTCCTGTTGTGAAAGATAATGATGTATGATTTTAAGTGGTCTGTGCTTTGATTAGCAGCATCAGGACTGAAATTCAAACCTATTATTTACTGCCAGTTTCTAATGAATAAAGGCAAAAGAGCTGTATTCATACTATGAATCCTTCTAGTCATTATTAGAGCTTTAAACAGGACTCAAATTAATTGACTTACAGGTCTTCCTCGAGTCTTATGTATATACTGCACACACTTCCCCTCCCTCTCAGGCCCCAGACAGAGCCTCTAGGGTGGTCCTACCATGGTACCTGGATGTTTCTGAGCAAGTATGAAGCCTGGTGGCAGGTGACAAGAGGGTCTTCACTTGTGAAGTTTCTAGAAACTTTTTAACATGATAACTCAAAACTTAAAGTTTAAACACTCTTTGATCCACCAATTTCATGTGTAGAACTTTTATTCTACATAAATAAGAAATTATACTTATGAAATCTGTTTATTAAAACTGAATTGCCATCTTGGTTAAATCCATCATGGCACAGCCATTTTATAAAATAGCATCATATGTACTGATATGGAATAATTTCTGAGTTATATTGTTAGATGAAAACAGCAAGGTACCAGACAGAAGGGACAGTGTGCTGCCATTCCAGCAGATGAAAGGAGAAACTGGCAATATGGTTGCCTTGTAAGAACTAGGGGACTTGACTTTTTACTTTTGTACCTTTTGAGCTTTGTATGCTACATATGCATTATTTATTCAAAGAAGACTTTTCTGAACTCATTCCTAGTACTGAGCTACAATAGGAAATGGAGCAAAAGCCGATCTTTTTGAAACCTTGAGAATACAAGGTGTAGCACCAACACCCTGGTATCTTTAGAGATGATGCATTGACATTGTTCACATACATAAAGCTATCCAAAAGATCTTGAAATTCAGGCACATATGACTCAGCCCCTTCTAGAAGGAGATAGCTGAGAAATGATTCCTTATTAGGTAGAAAAACATATGATAAAGCTATAATAATTAAAACAGTAGGGTAAATTGACCTAGAAATAAGCAATGAAATCAAGAAATACAAGGTAAAGAAACAGAACCCATAATATATTTAGAAATTCAGTTAATTAAAAACGGCATTTTAGGGCCAGGCTCAGTGACTCATGCTTTTAATCCTGGCACACCAGGAGGCACACGTGGGCAGGTCCCTTGAATTCAGGAGTTTAAGACCAGCCTGAGCAAGAGGGAGACCCCATCTCTACCAAAAATAGAAAAATTATTCTGGCATTCTGGAGGGCACCTGTTGTCCCAGCGATTCAGGAGGCCAAGGCAGGAAGATCACTAAACCCAGGAGTTTAATATTACTGTGAGCTAGGATGATGCCATAGCCCTCTACGCAGGGTGACAGAGTGAGACTCTGTCTCAAAAAAATAAAAATACAAAAGGCATTTCAATTTGGGATGAGGAAAAACAGATCAATTAGCTACCAATTTGGAAAAAAAAAAAAAAGATAATGCCCTCTAACATATGTAAAACTAAATTCTAAGTAATAAGCAGCTAAACAAAAAACAAAACTGTAGATCAAAAATTAAAGAAAAAATATAAATAACATTGGCATATGGACAATCTTCCTGAGGATACAAACCAAAACAGTGACAGATTTGACTACATAAAAACATGAAATTTTTTTGACAAACCAAATTTAGCGAGAAACAAAATAGTAGAAAATACACAATTTTCCGTATATGTGTATATCAGACTAAAAATTATTCATCAGGATATAAGAATATCTGTTACCAATGCATGCAACAAAAAAACTACCAAGTACAAAAATGTGCCAATAATGTATAGCATTAAAAATGCACATCTTCTACCCAGAGTTTCTATTTTTAGGCACCTCTGCAGAAAATAAATACTTGGCATGATATTCATTGTGGCAATATTGTAAAATATTGGGGGGGAAACCTGAAATATGCATCAAAAAAAGTTAAATAAACTGCAGTACACTATACTAAGGAATAATCTGCAGCAATTAGCCTCCGTACAAATATGGGTTTACACGTACTCACATGGAAATATTTCCAAGACGTGTTAGTGAGAAAACAATCTGGAATAATAGCAGACTGACATGTAAAAAGTGGGTTGGAATAAGAGGGGTGGACCAAGAGAGCCTTTTGGTTTATCTGTATTATTTTAATTTTTGCAATGGTGCTATATTTGTGTATTCCCTGTTTATTAAAATAAATGCAAAGGTCCTACCATGTCACCTTATGACAAATATAAGTGAGTGAGATGATATAGATATTGAATTCTAAGGCAATAAGGAGCCACAAAAGAAGACACAGTCTAGTCTTAGTATGGCACTGGCTTCAAGATGGGGGAAAGGGGAGAAGGCATGGTCAAAAAAGACTTCAATGCCAGGGTCCCACCCTGGGGGCAGGGTTCTTTTAGACCTGTGGAGCTGGCAATGGTCAACTGAAGAAAAGTAAAGTTAGAAACAGCAAGAGACAAAGAGACAAGACACATAGAATAGAATTTTCAAAGGTGGGAGCACAGGGGACCACCGCTAGCTTGTGGGGTTCACAGTGGTGGCAGTTCCACTCAGCTTTCATTGAAGGCTATTTGCTCATTAGCACAGAGGGTAAGCTGAGGAAGGGAATAAAGCTATCAGCAGTTTCTCTGAGCAAGTATGTCAACTTCTGGCTCAGCACCCGTAGCACAGCAGTTATGGTGCCAGCCACATACACCAAGGGTGGTGTGTTCGAAACTTGCCCAGGCCAGCTAGAAAACAATGACAACTGCAA